CCCCATGCTACCCAGCCCGTTAGTGGATTAACTACTTTTAATTGAAAGTGCGTAAGATCACCACTTACCAAGAGCAACTTGAGCAGGGGACTTGTTGTACTTCTTGCCAATGGCCGTGAGGGCAGGGGCCTCGAGCAACTTGCCGTCCTGCTTGTATGACTCGTTCTGATTACCTAGAGACGAGTAGTGCGTGATGTGGATACCCTTGGTCTTCAGGAAGGTGACAAAAGACGGCTGCTGGAGCCAAGGGTGCAGCTCGAGCTGGTGGACGGCTGGCACGATGCTTGTGTTTTCAAGCAGCCTCTCGGTCTCTGCCTTGGAGAAGTTGGATATACCAATGGCTTTGGTCTTGCCGGCCATGGCCAACTTCTCCATCGCCTTGTAGGTCTGTGGACATCAGGTATTAATAACTTTACTAATTCACGGACAAATGAATGAGGTACAAGGACGTACGTCTACATAGTCGATATCGACCACCTTCATCTTGCCAGAGCTGTCTTTGGGGAAGGCCTCGTCTCCTGGTGCAAAGGCGACGGGCCAGTGCATCAGATATAGATCGAGATAGCTGATGCCCAGGTTCTTCAAGCTGTCGTCAAGTGCCTTCTCGACGTCTTCAGGCTTGTGCTTGTTGTTCCACAGCTTGCTGGTGATGAAAAGCTCTTCTCGGGGGATGCCGGACTTCTTGATGGCTTTGCCAACTGCAGCCTCTGTGCCGTATCTACCATTGATATCTGGTATTAGCTATCAATTACTTTAAAACCTTTCAATGAAGGGGAAGGATAACACACATGGCAGCGGTGTCTATATGACGGTATCCCGCCTGCAGTGCGGCCAGGACGGCCCCCTCCTGCGCCTGTTCATCCTGCCAGGTCCCGAACCCGATGGCTGGGATCTCGGCGCCTGTGTTCAGCTTGAATTTGGTATTGCGAGGAGGCATGACGGCGGTAACTTCACTCAACAACAGTACCGTTCAAATAAGTAGATGTGACGGTGGTGATTGATCGAGTCGACATCTCTTCCATCGACAGCTGTTAAATATCTACATCTATCAAACTACGGTTCAACAACGTCAATTCTTCCAACGTGACGTCACAAAATGTCCTTGCTTGAAGCAACTTTTGACCGGGAATTATCTACCTCAACAAACAACCTAGGCTTCAGCAATCCTCGGAGTATCTTATCCTCCAGGCTGCCCCATGTCTGTTGGGTGCTTATTTACACTGTTCGAGAAGCGGCTTAAGCTGTCCCCATATATCAGCCAGGGGTCTCCGACATCTGCCCTACTAACTGACTAGTTGACCAGCTGAAACATAGGGCCCAGTCTAGCTGATCACCTCCGTCTCATCTTCTCCCAGGCCCCAGCCAACGTTTAAATAGCCTAATCTGGCTGATTCTATTTTCAGGTCGAGAGACATCAGACGTCTCTCACCCTCCACCATTACGACGAAGGACGACAGCTCTAAAAATGGCCAGGACGTCGTCTCCATCTCCAACTGCCATAAGGCATGGTGTGTGTGCCCTGCCACATCCACGTCAGCAGCGCCAGCAGCCATGCATACAGTTATCATGATGAAGGGGGGAGAGACTCGACCTCTGCGCTCGCTGCATCCAAAAAAAGAGACCAGGAAAAAAGCAAAGCCGACAGACGCGGGGAGGCTGAGCAGGCTCGTAAAAACGGTACCAGCTCACTCGCTGCTGGGCCGGCGTCATGGTGAACGTGGCTGAAGCAGCCTGTCGCATGTCGCATCGTCCTCGACGCCCCCCCTGTCGCTCTCCACACGCAGACCGCAGGGCCCCAGCTAACAAAGTCAAAGTGCGAGGTCCTTTAATCCCAAATGAGGTATTTCGGGTAGACGAGCCCCCTAATCTCAGGGCTTATAAGTACCCTATCGCAGCCCGCTGATGTTCCTCGAGATTTCTCCCAGCATCAACCAGCAAACGCTTACAACACTATATTCTCGAACACAAGATACCACTGTCTACCAACAAATCCACCAATCTTCTTCCAACCGTCAAGATGCAGTTCAAGACTCTCTCCATCCTCCTCCTCTCTGCTTCCGCAGTTATCGCTGCCCCACAGGAGGAGAAGCGCGATATCATTGACCAAGCGTATGTCTCCTTTTCCCTACCCAATACATGAATGGGAATCTACTCCAAGTATAGATATACTAACATATTCCAGCACCTCTGGCATTGGCGGCATTGGCTCTGACATCGGCGACATCGCTACCGACATTGGCAACATCGGCAAGAGTCTTACTGCTCTCTTCCCATCTGCCACCGCCATCCCAGCCTCCGTCTGGAGCAGCTTGACAGACGCTTCCCACATCAAGTCCTTCGGCTCTTCCCTCCACAGCGCCATCTCAGACCACCACGCTCCCGCATGGTTCTCCAACCTACCTGCCTCTGCCCAGAGCGCAGTCAGCAGCGCCGCCGCCGGCATCACCAGTGAAATCGGTGAGCACTTCCCCAGCGCTACCGGCACTCCTGGCGCAACTCCTACCACTGGCGGAGGCTCCCACCAGACCAACACCCCCAACGCTGCTCCCCGCGCCACCGCTCTCGCTGCCAGCATCGCCGGAGCTGCTGGTCTTCTTGGTCTCGCAGTCGCCTTGTAAATAGGCTTTTCGCTTCTTGTTTCTTCTTTTTTTTCTTCTTCATATATAAATTTACTTTTCAAGACCGAGTTTTGGCTTCTGGAGTTGGTCGTCCAGCCTGTTGTATTATAAGTTGGGATGCCTGGCATGTCTTCTAATATGAATATACCACCTTTTCGCTTCGTTACGTATATATATCGTTTCTCCATCTTCCCCAGCTTCTTCTCCCTGCGCTATAATTTCCCCCTTTATATCCATGTTCTTCTGCCAAGACAAGGAATTTTTTCCGGTCAGGGGTATCACGTGAACTGCGCTTTCTGCCTTTCCCGCGCGCCGAAGAGTGCAAAGCCGCCCACAAATAAAAACCGGCAAAGTTTTTTGTTTCTTCGTTTTTCTTCTTCGTCAACATCAACATCAGCGCAGCAACAGCAACTGCTGATCATTTCTTTTCATTTCTCTTACCAGGCCAATTGGCTTGTTTCGAGGTTAATGATGGGTAAGCCATTCTATTCTCCTTTGCATGCACCGTTCTCCCGTGCAGGCTTTACCCTGATGAACAAAAATTTCCTCTTGAACAATCCAAATCCGACAATTCATGACGGATATACTTGGTTTCCATCCTCTGATACAAGTTGCCATGGGAGATGTGCTTGCACTCTATCGTACTGCAATTGAGTACTAACATGTCGTCCTTAGAGCTTTTGCTACCGTCTTACCTTGGAATCCAAGCTATTCAATGAATGAATTATTCAAAAGGTGTGTATTAATTGATTGTTTATTGCTACTCCCCGCGCAACACCCCCTTTATGATGACACTATGACATGCAAAGGCATTCCTCAAGCTTAACCAATAATGTGGAATTTTGTCAGCTTCTAAGTTCAGCCTTGTCTGATTTTATTCACCTTCATATTCATAACATCTACTTCGATTCTTTAGTCAATCAGTTGCTAACAAGTCTCGAATAGGTACGCTATTTACATATCTACACATGCCCTAAAAAACAATACACCTTGCATGAGGAACATTTGAACGAACGGGCGGACAGATCGCGTCTTTTCATCGCTATCCACTACAACAGGACGTACAAACCTGTTGGGTAGTTGATGGTTAGATTGCTTGTTGAGATTTCGTCACCTGACTATATGCTACACACCTGCTTAATACCATCTTTCCTGTCACTGCGGCAGTTCAATGGCTGGAAGTGAATGCTAACATCGTTGCCGTTGATCAGGTATATATCTCTTTTTCAGTTTTATTAGCTACGTTACTGGATACATCTCTTCCATGATGAACATTATTCACACTGTTTGATCTGTGCATTAAACCGCCAGAGGTGAAACTTCTTACACTGAAAATTCTGATTTAATGAGGTATGTCTGCCATAACTTGCGCTCGAGGTATACTTGCAGTGACGCTGACTGATGGGCGGGAAGCCTGATGATAGATGATTCCATTTTATCTTTTTTTCAAGCATATATTTCTTGATTATGACGGTGTCGACAAGTACTAATGTGACCTCGTGGGATAGGTTTGATATCACACCGTAGATGTATACTGTATTTCACACAGGTTAGTCTTCTTTTTGCAATCTCCGCTTCCCATCCCAGTCCTATATTTGCCTGATGAAACAATGATTTTTCGCTGTGTTCTTTCCGAGTCTTACTTTGACGATAACACATCACCTTGGAGACCTGACCCTTGCACGAAACACCGCTTTAAACTATCCGTTGACTCTTCGGTGTTCACTGCTAACATGGGTATACTAGACATCATACTCGATACAATAGATAGTTAATAGCATTCAATATGACTACCTCTTTTTACTTGCACAAATATTAAAAGCTTCCACTCTCGTCTACTCAACGTACTTCCCGTTCTTCCTATGCCAGTCTTCCAAGCTATCTCCATACGTCTTATGCACGACCTTCTTCCCCTCCGGCCACCGCGCCCACTTCGGCTTGGAGTCAGCTAGTATGCACACCATCTCCTCTGGCTCAGGCAGCTCTGTATCAATGGCCGACGCAAACGGATGGATCAGCTCCGGCCAGCCCTTGTCATATACCCAGAGCATGGTACTGCAGTTTGAGCAGAAGCTTCGTTCGGAGCTGCACTTTTCCTCCGTCGGCTTGCCTCTGTCTTTGATAGCGTTGTATTTTCTATCGTCGTTAGCAGTAGCCCTTTAATATAGTGAGGGAGAGTGATGTACTTGATTAAATCTTTCCCCTTGGCGATGTTAAGGGAGCTGCTGATGCCGCCTAGGTTGACGCTGCCCATGTATCCGCCTACTTTGCGACAGATGCTGCATGCGCACAGCTGGTATGGGACAGGCGTGTTGGAGTCGAGGGAGAACTCGACACCGCCGCATTGGCAGCTTCCTTGAAGTTTCCTTCATCAATGCTCAGTTAGTATGTATCTTTGTATCCTTGTATTGTTGACAGGAGTGCTGCTGTACGAACATAGGCATCTTGGTTGGTCTGCGGGTAGAAGTAGATGTGTGCTGCTGGTATCTTGTTAGTGTCGAGTAGAGTAGACTGTTGGCTGAGCGAGCGGGAGAGCAGTGACTCTTTATATGCCTGTTCAAGCACCTCAAGGACAAGGATACAGTCATCTACGGCTATATTTCTTTTCCATGTTAACCATGCCCGACTCTCGTCTCTTCTACTCCGTCCATCCCATCCTCGCCTCATGTTTGCTTCCGACGTCATTTTTGCATAGTTTGGCCTGTTTGCATCGGTGGTCAGCTTTGCGCTGTTTGCACCGTTTGCATCTGTCTTTCTTCCCGTCGAGAAGAAGAAGAAGCAAAAGCGAAGTCGAAGCCATCCCAGCGAAACAGCCAGACGAAGGAAGACGATTGGATCCGCCAGTTGAGCCATAAGAGAGTGTCAAGATGAGTTTCGGAAGCCCTGGCGGCCGCGCAGTTAACATCAAGCCTACTCCGTGCGTCCCCCAAGTCTGACCTGACCGTTTGATTCTAACTGCAATTGACTAACCCATGACTCTCGAGCAGACCGGAGCGAGGCAGCTTCCCACTCGACCACGACGGTAGATCTCCTTACTCCATACACCAGTTGACATTGCATTGACTACGGGCTGTTACTAACCGCGGCACAGGAGAATGCAAGTCGATAATAGCAGGGTACTTGCAATGTCTGAAGTCAGCGCGCGGCGTCAACGACGAAGCCTGTCGAAAGCTCGCAAAGAGCTATCTAAGCTGCCGAATGGAGAAGTGCGTATCTACTCTACCTACACCTTCTAGAGAGACATTGATTGGGGTGTGGTGTTGGTGGGCTGACGAGGACAGGAATCTGATGGCACCGGACGAGTTCAAGAATCTCGGGCTGGTATTTGACGACGAGAAGCCGGGAGAGACCACGACAAGCAACGCGCACGCCCAGACAGACCCGGACAAACCGCCGTTAAGCAGTAAGAAGTAAGAAGTGAAGTGATTGGTGAAAGGTGAAAGGAGGAGAGCTGGCGAGAACAGCCATTGGTTAGGCGTTGGATGTGATACGACTGCATATGTATTAGTTAACTAAGGCATGCACTGCATTGCGGCTGATGCATCAGCTAGTTGTCTAGCTACTGCCAGCTAGCTACTACGGTTACAGCTACGACGACGGCGTTTGGATGTACAATACTGTATACATATATATATATAAGAGACTCCCACTTCAATCGTCCAGAGTGTACGGAATAAACGTTTATTGAGGCCAAGCTCGAGCTCAACCTTAGTCTGTTTAGTGAAGTTAATATACCCCGGATAAGAAGCTAGTTAATAGGTAGCCATGCGGTACCGGCGACGAGTGTACATCCCACCGACCACCATCAGCATCGCCGACTCGATGTCGTCCGTCATCCGGCCGCCAGACCCATGCCTGATCGCGATTGCGCTGGTGGTTCGATCTCGCGCCGGCCCGCGGTTCGTCTACCACTATCCTCCCAACCCGACGCTCGCCGAGTCCCCCTCGACCGCGCCGAACAAGTACGACGGCCAGCAGCAGCCCAGGGACGAGCAGGAGCACGAGCAGGCTGATCCGGACCAGGAGGTCAAGGGGACTGATTCGGGGGCGTCGGTGGACGAGGACGGGGTGACGTCGGAGGAGGAGTCGAGTGTTGTTGATCGAGGGGAGAGGGAGCGGGAGCGGGAGAGAGACCGCCGCTCACCGAGTCGGCAGCACTCGCAGTCCCACTCCCAGTCACAATCACAGTTGCAGTTACAGTCGCATGTGAGGAAGAAAGTAGCTATACAGGGCCAGGGAGCTCCGGGCGAAGAGGGGGCGGAAGACAAGAAAGGCGAAGGAAGCAGTTTGCAAGCGGACTCGTTCCTGGGGCTGGGCTACGGGGTGTGGGAGAAGTTGCTTTCGCCGTCGCCTGCGTGGCACAAGCGGCGGTTTGAAGTTGGCGTGAACGACCTGACGTTTGTGGGCTGGCCGGTGTTTGTGCGCAAGGACGGGACATGGCGGAAGCGCAGGAAGAAGCGGAAGAGCGAGAAGAGGCGAGAGGAAGACGAGAAGGAGAGGGAGAAGGAGAGGGTGAAGAAGAGCGCTGGCGTGTCTGGTCTTGGAGCCGGGCTGGTAGGAGATGGACATATACCCCTGACAGACACCGATGATGGCGAGGATGGAGGTGATGAACGGGAAGAGCGTGGAGAAGATGAAGATGGAGATGGAGAGGAGGACTGCTCTGATGAAGAACAGCTTACGATCAAGGACGGGATGACGATGTTCAATGTGGTGTTTGTGCTGAACCCGCCGGCGCTGGAGTACAATGTGCGGGTGCGCGAGATGTACGACAATGTGGTGAAGAAGTTCGGCAAGGCGCTGAAGAGCGAGCAGGCGCGGGCAAACTACGTCTGGAAAGAAGCCCAGAACATCCTGCGCATCAAAGAGAAGTGTCGTGAAGAGAGTACGTCTTCTCTCTACTCTATATAAATTATGAGTTGTTCAATGCTAATCTATGTAGGAACCTCGCTGTCCGGGCTGTATACAACGCTGTCTGCCAAATCCAGTCTTGCCCAGGCCCTCGAGACACTATATACCAACATCAGCGCCTCCAAGATCGCATCCGTCAGCCTGGGCCCGCAGACCAGCATGTCGATGCAGATACCGCCCATGACATCAACGCCCCATCTCCCTTCGCCCAACGAACCAGGCTACCCGGGTCTCTGGCTGACGACCGCCGACAGCGTCTCCTCGACCGACGAGACAGCCCACATGACCAACCCAGGCCAGTCGCAGGTAATGCTAGCCAAACACTTTGCCCTCTTGCTTCTCAGCGACGAGACAAGCATACTCAAGGACATCGAGGCGTCCAAGAGCACCATCGGCCCTCCATTAGCCCACTACATCCGCTCCAGCAAGCCTACCAAGTCCTTTGCCCAGATCTCGGCCCGCTCGCACATCCCGCTGGCCGACATCCAGATTCTGGCCAGCCATCTGGTGTACTGGCGGCGGGCCCGAGCTATACCACCGCTGAACAAGAAGGATGTATACATTGTCTCGCCGAACGCGGACATGAGCAAGCTGGGCGTGGCGAGTGCAGCGTATGAGGGGATGTTTCCTACCCTGCCGAGCCTGCCGAAGATGCTGTCTGCTCTGAGCGCGGGCAGCCCCAGGCCGTATTTCAGTTATATCCCGAGCAAGGACCATAAAGAGGCGTATTATGATATCCTGGCGTGGTTGGTGAGAGGCGGGTGGGTGACGCAGCTGAGGACGTTTGGGTGGGTGAAGGTGAGTCCGGAGGTGAAGATGGCGGTCCAAAACCAGCCTGTCAATGGACATCGAGAGCATCAAGATGAGGATGATGAAGATGAAAAAGAAGAAGATGAAGAAGATGAAGAAGAAGCTGGTCTAGCTACCCCTGTTCCTGTTCCTGTACCTGTGTCTAGGTCTACGGCTAAAACGTCGGTATCAACTTCTACGGCCTCCCTGATCCTGCGGCCTCACCGGGCCTCACCCCTCGAGTCCCGCTGGCTCGACCACATCCACAAATCGTTCCCTCTAGCAGCTGAAAATGACGATGAAGATCATGAAGAAGAAGAGAGAGAAGCAAGAGAAGAAGGAGAGAAAGAAGAGGAGGAGGAAGAAGATGTGTATGCTGCCCTTCGACGCCACTGGCCCATGCTGACCCGCTACTTTACGGGTCTGGATGCCCTGCAGAAGATCAGTGTGCGAGAAGGGCTGCCGCACCGACTGGTCTGGAGAATGCTGAACCTGCTAGATGTGAACTCGGGTGTCCTTGGAGGAGGAGGAGGAGTAGGAGGAGGAGGAGAGGCCGACGGGGTGTGGGATGAGCGGGAAAAAGTGCTTGTCACTGTCCGGCATTGGTAACACTACTGATTAACCAACCTACTGTCTGGACCATGGCTGTGATGTAACTATGTGAGCATGTATGTATGTATGATACCAATAATGTCTGAGTCTGTGTCTCGTATTCCTGTGGTTTGATATCAAAGTGACCTCAGTGGCCATTAATTAATTAACTACTAAGTCTTAAGGCTGTCTTGTCTTGCTGTCATCCACTTCCAGGTTTAGCCGTGGTCACGTGGAGGAGAAGCGAGACAGCGAGATAGAAGAGAAGAAGAAGAGAAGAAGACAGACAGTAGACAGAGAGACAGAGTAAGAGAGTAGATAGCAAGAGAGTAGACAGTAGACAGTAGACAGTAAGATAGTAAGATAGTAAGATAGTAAGATAGTAAGTGTTAGTGGTAAGTAGGAAGTGTTAGGTGGTGGCATTGGTGGGAGAAGAAGAGAGAGAGAGAGTAAGAGAGTAAGTAAGTAGATAGAGAGACTCTCTTACTGCCTGCTGTCTCTCGGCCTCGGTAGGAGAAGAAGAAGTCAAGCAGAGAGAGAGAGACAGTAGAGACAGAGAGTAGAGACAGTAGACAGTAGACATCCTCGACTTCATCCCAAGATCTTAATGACCATCTTCTTCATCTCCATTACTATCATCTTGATTATCATCATCTTCTTCTTCTTCTTCTTCTTCTGCCAGCCGAAAGAGCCGGCCAGGTCTTTTGCCCTAGCTTTAGCTCATCCAAAACTCCTCCCTCGCCTTACACTAACTAACTAAATCACTTACTCTAGCTATCTCTTCTTCTCTCTTCTTCTCTTCTTCATCCATCTTCTTCTTCTCTCTGTCTACTGTCAGTCTATCCGTCTAAAGTCCTCCCTCGGCCATCTTCCTCTTCATCCTTGTCTCTTCACGTGGGTAAGTTCTTCTTCTTCTTCTTCTTCTTCTTCTTCTTGCTGTCTTGTCTCTCTTCTTGGTCTCCTCCGCACTAAAACTTCTTCAGCTTTTTTTTTTTTTTTCTTCCTTTTTTTTTCTTTCTCTCCCTTCTGAACTTAC